TCATCTCCCCCTGAGAGCAAACACCAACAAACTGTAAACTGTCTTAAAAGGAACTTAGTCCAAAACTTCACCTTTAAACCTAAACCGTAGGGAAGATATCATCTCCCCCTGAGAGCAAACACCAAAAAACTGTAAGCTGTCTTAAAAGGAACTTAGTCTAAAACTTCACCTTTAAACCTAAACCAGAACGTTACTGTATACTTCACTGGTGCTACAACAAGGGATGGGAGTTGTGACTCCTGGGTCACAGTCTCAGTTTTGCCACTAACTCGGGCTTGGGTTTCTCTTTGCAAAAATTGCTGATATTTTCCCAGGGCATAGGGAAGACAGGAGGTTTAATGATTTCCTTCTTTGAGATCCTTTCATGAGAGTTGCTATACACTTTTTTTTCCCTGCTATTAAAAGATACACCTCCTTCTTGTGGTTTAAACACAAAGGTGCACTAAAATACTGCAAAGCATCTGGCAGTTTCACACAAGGGAGAAGTCTCTTTTAACTTGTTGATCAAATCCCAAATGGCTTCTGAATTTTCACGGCAAATTTTCACTCAGGATGGCAAGGTCAACAGGTTCTCAGTCATTTTGTTCAGTAAACTTCTTCACACACATCATTAGCATGTAAACCCATTAAGATTTGGCTGCCACCACTGCCCCAATGTAAATCCAACAGGAACTCAAACTACTGTCATTCAAAATCAATGACGCCGACCTAGTATGAAATGGGGCATGCAAAAAAAGGAAATAAGTCTCTTTTCCCTCTAGCTGTTCATTATTACAGGCTTGTTCCTCATTAATAAGTACTGCCTAAATACATATTAAAAAGCAAGAAACCATAAGAAAAGCTGTGGACTCCAAAGGCTGACAGATACCTGGGGTCAATGCGGAAGAACAAATGGAAGGCCTTCTACCCTGACAGGGACCTTTCAAATCCCCACAGATTGTCAATTAAACAAAAGAATCCACAACATTCTTTCTGTGCTTTAGTGCATAACTCATTAACCTGTTAAATAAACCTTTGCTTCTAGGATTTGGAAAGCCAAGTCCCAGTCACAGGAGAGAGAAAGCCCAGATCCTACACTGAGCTGCCTTTGGGACAGCACTAGAAAGAGGCAGAGCCAAACTGAATTCTCTCTCTATTGCCCTTGTTGTACATGGAATGGGGAAAAACTGGTCTATCCACAGATGCACATTCCAGTGAAGGAATTCTGAATATGCCAGAAAGGGAGAAATAGGCCTTAATCTTGAGGCCCAGCACAGAGGAGTTGTGGCCAATCAGAATAGATCCACATGAAAACAATGCCAGCAATCTAGGCCCCTCGTATGAGTAAGAGATGAGGGACCCTTATGCCTAGAAAGTTTCACATAAACATTCTCCAAGTCTGTGCCCAATGGCTCAGCACCACTTTTGATCTGTTACCTGCGTCACATTATCCTGGATCCACTCCAGCCTGTATCCCAGGACATTTTCTTTCAGCACATCTGGGGCCACATCATCCCACTCCAAAACCAAACCAGGATCTCTTTGGATAACATGGATATTTTGTGGGGTGCTGCTTGGAGCTGAAAGCAGAGGACAGACCACCATCACTCTGTGCAGGAAAATAAGGCATTACCCACACTGAAAATGGCTGCAGACACAGTTTCATCCTCTTTTGGATGGAACAGAGTATGAGGAGAGAGAACAACTTCTACAAGCCATAAGCACTATGCTTGTTTCAAGTGCAGAAGATAAGGTTGGTCAGCATCTCATTTCTTTCCAAGCCATCACTCTTAACCACACTTGACTGCATATTATCATCTTAGGAGACTCTCAAGAGTGGACAAGCAATCAGTCAGTGTAACAATTGCTGCATTTCAGAAAGAGCAAGCAGGAGTTCAGAGAAGTTATCACCATCTCCTTTTCACATTCAGAACCACTTTCCTCATCTTGGCTATTTGCTTACCAAGCTCCAGGGTCTGGAAGTAAACCCTGTCAGAGAAAGGGGAGCTGCCCATCTCATTGCTGCACTGCACACGGACACTGTAGTTGGTGGAATGCTTCAAGCCTTGCAGGCCATAGGCAAAGGGTGGCACTGGGGTGACTTCAGTGGAGATCTCCTGGCCTTCTGGTGACTCAGCTACCTGTGCCAGGAGTGAAACAGAGAAGACTGTTAGCATAAGCCACATGACTAACAGCTCCATAGGGATAAGAATTCATTTCATGGTTAGTTTAGGAATGTGTTAGAATAGCTATGTTACCAGTGGTTAAAATACTGAAAAGGGAGCTGTCAAAAAGACTCATGAGCCACACCTTTATTTGGTTTAAGAGAATATTCTACACTGGTGGCTTGGTTCAATTGAACTGTTTCACATTAAACTGAAAAAAAATTTCTTACCACTCCTGCAGCTTTTTTTTTTTTTCCCCAAATCTGAACTACTAAGCCATGTGAATGTTAATTTAATATATACACTTAACATAAGTCAAGATATCACTGTGTGCTTTTAATGCACAGACAGGGTCAATGGTCCTGCTTTCATACTGACAATAGAAATCACTGCATAGCTCCCTGGCTCAGCCTTTCTTCTCAAGTGCATATGAAATAGTGCAGCTGGGAACAGAAGCAAGGTGTACAGACAGAAGTGAAACACTCATGTGGACTTTATATTCTTTATCTAGCAGTCTTGCTCCCTTTCTCCCTCCCTTTCTGCTCATTCTCATGTGCACTTTTGGCCCACTGATTTATTTGGCTAACAAAAAGGAAGAATCTCAAGTTTCCTTAGTAGAAAAGCATATTGTTGTCATTATCAGTGTCATCCAAAGCAGGGAAAAAACCACCAGACTTTTGTGCAAACCCCTGTCAGTTTGATGATGAACTGTTTTGGATCAGGTCTGAAGAGTCAGTGCTCTCACATCTGCCCCCTTTCCACCCTGTTCCAAGGAACAGGACTTGTGTTTACAGCCTGTGAAGATGGTGATTCCCCAGAAGCAATCTGCCTGTCTCAACACGGTGCTCTTGGGGCACTTGCTGTAATCCCCAAGTGCCAGCAAACCACAGCCAAGTTTCAAATCCACCTTCTCTTTCAGGGAGGCTGTGAGTAGAAGTGTAATGGTGGGGAGCCAGGAGCACGTGCATTTTCACACAGAAATGTGGGTCAAGGTCTCCCACCACCCCTCTGAGTGTGGGAGAGGAGGAAGCACAGCTTTCTGCCAGTGCAGAGGGATTGCCAAGTTACCCAGCTCCCACATCCAGACGCGGGAACTTTGTCCTCCCCGAGCAGAACAGAAAAGGCTTAGAAAAGGGGTGAGACTGCTGAGTGGACAGAAACTGAGCTGCTCTCATTCAGCCTCTTTTCCACATGTCCCTTCCCCCCCTCCCCCTGCCGCTGCCAAAAGTGAGAGGGGGAACTCAAACCCCGGGGTGATTAGCATTGCAGCATGCAAGCCAGACAGAATAGGCTGTTCCAACTGCAGATAACTTGCATTGACAAAGAGTGGAAGAAAACCATTTTTGACCTCCTACAAGAACAGAAGCAAAAACAAAACAAGAACAGAAGCAGCAAAAAAAAACCCAGAGACCAGGGCCAGCTATGTTCAGGCATTCTTCCTGCCTCTGAATTAAAACAAGATGTTGGTTTCAAAGCATGAAATCTCTACTTTCCTGCCAAATAAAAAGAGGAGTGCAAGCAAATTAGCTGGGCTGCTTCTGTTGCTGCTGTCATCAGGTAGGGAAGGCACAGGGGCCCAACATTCATCCCTGGCAGATAAACCCATGGGGAATGTGCCTAGCTGTGCTTACACAGCCCACTTCAGGAATCTCTGTTTCTCTCCAACACTCAGTTACCAGCTGCTTGATCTGTTTTTCAGAGATGTTGAGTCCTCAGCACCCCATAGAGCTAAAGGATAGTATCACCCTTGATTTTTTGGGAAGAATTGGTCTTCGACAATGGAAAACCAATCAAGATTTAGAGGCAGGGCTTAAAATTACTCTGGAAAATGCAAATAGGCCTGAGTTTGTATCAAAAAGCCTCATCTATCATTCCCACCCTTCCTCTACCACATCCTACAGTTTGCAAGCTCCTCATCACTTGGGCTCACAGGTATGCCTGGATCCTGGGGTGTCCTCTGGCACCCCAAAACACAGGGCTGTGCAGGCATGGGAGCCACAGGCCACAGCACTGCACCTGAACAGGCTACCATGGGCCAGCTGCTCCAAGCCAGAAGGGCACATGAGCACCCTGCAGCTACTCAAGGGCATTTCCCAGCAAGTGATATGGCTTCATACAAGCTGCAATGTAACAGAGCCACCATGGAGCAACAGATGTGGTAACCTGAGAAGGAGAATGGGACCAGTCCCAAATTCTCAGCTGGATGCTTCGTGCTCAAAACTCCATGCCCTGCTCTTGGGCATCTATGTATGTCTTGAGCTGCATCCTGTTAGAGCTTCCATGTTTTAGAACTGTGGGATAAGAAGTCAAACACTGCTACAAAGTGCTTAGGAGAGTGAAAGAGGGTCCAAGCAATGTCATGGCTCAAGGGAGTCCCATCCATCATGCAGGGCAGAGGACAATCTAGAGGGGCCATACCTGAAGAGTGCAAGAATGGAGGGGTGAGTGGCCATCAAATCCTGGCACCCAGAGCACGCTGGCATTGCTGCTTGTCACTTGGCTTACAGTTACATTGAGAGGCGGGAGGGGCATGGCTAGAAAGGAAACAAAGAGACCTTTCAGTACATGCAGAAACCAGCAGGTATTCACATGGAAATGGCAGAGGCTTGAGGCTAAAAATTCGGCAAGGAAATCACTAAGAGAAACGGTATAATGTCCCAGCTTTAGAGAGCCTCCTGATTGTTGTCAATGAAACTATTATTTTAACACTGAACAAGCTTTTAGCATCTGTTCTGTACGAGTCCAGCAGAGCTCCCCAATGCATAAGGTTGATCTCTTTGACAGCAATGCCAGGGAGTGATGTTTACACCTTTGCTACTCAGTCCCCTTCCCTGCCCCCTCCATTACAACACATGACCCAGCTCTGGGCACACCACTGCCTGGGGACCTCCACTGTGAGCCAAATCAGGGCTTTCCAATCCTTCCTCCAGTTCTGCTCCAGCCCCTGAAACCAGCCCTGGCAGCACCCTTTGAAGGATGGTTTGGAAGGACTGGAAACTGGGTCCCCTTCAGGCCTGGGATGGATAAACTCAGAAGGCACTCTGGTTTGGGGAGGAGCATGCCTCGACTCTTTGTTGCATTAACCTGAGCTCTTTGGCTTCCCTTTTGGATCCTCAGTGCTTCTCTTTGCCTTCTCTTCTCCTCTCTTACTTCCCATTCTTCCCAATACACCCCTCACCATCTCTTTTTCACTCCTGAGCCTGTTTTTTAGTTAGGAACCTCACTCCTAAAAAAAAGAAAAATAATTACTGGCTTCATGCATGCTAACCTCTCCCCTGACCTTTATCTCATTCTTAAGAATCCCAGGAGTAACACTTTTCCTGAAGCCCCTCAACAAATTGCAGCTTCAGGAGCCCTCTTTCAAAAACCCAAGGTTCCCAGAAGAAGGCTCTGCCTGCAGACTGTATTTTCCATCACTCCTGAGCTGTATCCAATGGAAAGCAGCAGTGGAAAAATAATTGTAACCTAGGATTCCTCTGGGAATTGCAAAACAGGATCCTGCTCTTCCAGAGAGGACCCTTGTCTCTCACCGCACTGAGGACAACACCACTGCCTTTAGCATCTCCACAGGACCACCTTGGATGAAAAATGCATAGACCCAAGACCCTCCCACAGGTCCCTACAGGGGGTCTAGAGAGGAGAAAGGGGCAGGGAACAGATGATGCCACCGATTAACCCTGTAAAGCTTTTGTTTTCTGGTTAACTAGTTACCAGGCCCCAGGGCCAGGGGCTGCCACCCAGATAAGCACAGCTCTGCATGGCTGGGAGGTGGGGCAGCAGAGCACAGGCTGGGGGGAAGATGGGCCATTTCTCTGCCTTTCAGTGAAAGGTCTCTAAGTTAACTTAGATTTTTCTTCATCTTGGTTTCTTTCCCTTCTGATGTTGGGTATCCCAGTTGATAAACTGTTTGGGTGGGGAAAAAAAACAAAGCTCACTTGAAACACTGCCTTTAACTCAAAGTCTTTTGTAGACATGCTTGCAACTTTGGGGTTTAGCAACATGGGATTTTCAACACTGGATGGCAGAAACAAAGGAGGTACTGGCTATACCCCCAGTGAGAATAAGTAACCAGCTGCTAAAATATCCACTCTAACAGAGACAGGCTCCCAAGAGGGTTGGCTTGTAGCACCACCCCCTAACTGCAATTTGTAGCTGGGATAAGCTGCAGTTCCCCATCCTCCTTTGGAGAAAAAAAATAAACCAACCCTCTGGGTGGCTCTGAAAGATGAGAACACAACCCTAAATTCTGAACCACACACAGGAAGGAGAGCAAAGTCGGTGTGAAAACAGGACCTTGAGTGTTAACATAATGAGAGTTAACTTGCTCTGTGCTTGCAGAGTGGCTGGAACAAAGGGGCTTTGTACAGGGCTGGGGACTGTGGGCTACAATAACAGTAATTTTCTGCTTGGAGTACACCCAGCACATTGTGGGCACTACAGAGAATAGATAATGAACAACAACAGCAGCAAATAGGAAGAAATGTTAACAGTTTGTAAATGTCCCAGCAAAAATATTTGCCTCTAGCAACACAGAAGAAACAAATTGTTTAATAAATTGTAGAGAGACTTGAGAGCCCTCATTTGCAGATGGATCTGTGTAAGAGAGGAAGACCCTGATAATGCATGTATAGACAACTACTCCCAGGAGTAATTTAATTGAAGTCTAGATGTTCATAAGATCAAGGACTAAACAAACATCTGAGTCTGCTCCCGTTCCTGCTGTTGTCCTTGTTGGGAGCTTTGCTTTAATTTTAACAGGGGCTGTACTAAATCTTCAAGTTTTACAGTTCAGAAGAGCCTCAGTATTTCTCTAACTACTCTTTGAGACGTATCTTGGAGTTATTACAGTTCAGAGACTTAAAACTACAGCACTGGACTTGCTATTTGAAACCTGGTTTTTATCTCTAGGACACATCCTGGTGCTACATTTGCCAAACGACTTAGGCTTGCTCTTCCTCAGTTCTAAAAGGTGCAGATGTGTGCACATAAGTGTGTGAAGGTGATAGGTCCCTCCCAAAGAGCCTGTGTGGACACATTAGCTGCTGAATGACTGCTATGGAGAACTTGGACTAAATGTAATTGCTGGGAAATTCAAGAATTCTGAGGTCTTCACTGCATCATCTTATTAATGGTTAAAAAAATGATCTACCTTAGCATTAAAAAGAGCTTGTTTATGCTATTATTTCAAATTACAGCTTGATGAGTTTTTTTTTTTAAAAAACATAATAGCATTGTGAACTAAATTCCATCCCAGAATAAAATTATCTGTAGTAGATATGTACCACAATAATCCCCCTGTGTAGACAAGCCTTTGAGGCAACAACTCCAAACATCTTTAAATGAAGTTATAAATCTTGCTAGTCCAGCACACTGCATTCTTGGCATAGCAGTAACCACAATGTCCTGAAGAAAAATATACTAGCAGTAGATCTGCAGGTAGATTTTAAGCTACCCTTTAATGAACCTTGGCTAATACAACTCTGAGTTCTGATGCAGACATTAAAACTCGCTCTGATTTGTGCTGAGCAATGAGCTACCACTTGGAATAAATGATTTTTGTGACATGCCTCTCCTGGAACTGATAATCATGTCATTTAATGCACATTAAAGCATGACTAAAAATCCAAATGCAGAGGCATCTCAACATGAGGAGGAGGAGAACTGCTGATTGCTCTATTATCCCCCTTTCAGTCACCTGGAGGAACAGAAGAAACGTGCCAGCAACTTAGGAACTTCCAAATGGCAAGTGGACATGCAAAGGGTAACAATTACTTTTAAGGAGGAAAGAACTAAACAAGATAAAAAAAAAATAATCACTAAAACCAGTGTGGATGAGGAGATTTTACTGGCCACCAGTGATCACCTTCCTTGCCTTTTTTCCACACCTAAGGTGATACCAACAGAAGCAAGCATCAGTAATGGCCTCTTCAGCTCTAACAAGACCCATCTACCTCCAAGAAGGAAAGATTTCCCCAGCTACAGATTTCTATTCAGCTTCATCTCTTCCAAAGAACTTGACTGCTCCAACTCTCACCTTTTCAAGAAAAAAACCCCAACTGTTATTTGACATCACATTCCCACTCCTGAATCAGATGTGGTTTGTTTTTCACAGGCTGGGAGACAGCCCTGCATGGGACTGCTGTCAGAGGACAAAGTACTGCTTCACCTTCTGAGAGCTCCAACCTGCTCTGGTTGTTGGCAGCTTTGAGGCAATCTCTTACCTTAGAGAGCCCTACTTTCCCTCCCCAAGGAGCAACCCGAGTCCCTCACCCATCCTCTTGCTCTCTCTCACCTTTAATTTGAACAGTGGCTGTCCGAGATGAAGACAGTCCCTTTACGTTGTGAGCTTCGCAGGAGAAAACTGTGCTTTGATTAATACCTGGAGGTGAGCCAAGAAAAGGAAAGGAAACACAAACAGCTCTATAAACCAGCTTCAACCTTCAGAATTTCAATTATGTGAGACATCCGGCTCAAGCTGCACAGGCAGTTGGAGGGCTGAATGCCAATCAAAGGCACGTGGATCTCAATGTCATCAATGTGCTAAACATATTTCCCATGGAGAGCATGGCAATGGAGGAAAGCTTCCACAGGAGCCTCAGAAAGCATTGAAGAAGAAGGATGAATCTGGCAGAACAGCAGCTCAGTTAGTAGATGTCCACTTCTCACGTTCTGGTGACCACCTCTGGAGCAAGGATTGTGCTGAACCCTGGGCTTACACAACACTGTGGACCCTCAGCCTGCCACCTGAGCAGCAATCACCTTCTAACCAGGCTATAAACCCAGCTAAACTTCCAACCAGATGCTGCAGATTTCAAGCTAATGCCCACCTGTCCCTCACCTTGCATCAGACTTTTGAAGACAGGCAAAAAAGTGGGAATAAAATGCTGCTGCATCAGCACCCAGACACTTTCCAGGGGTGATAGGAGGACTATCATCTCTCTCTCTTTTCTGTAAGCATCCATCCAACTCACAGGGCCTGAACGTGGCATCATACTGATGACTGGCTGCTCCAAGATGCATTTAGGTGTGGCTAATTAATCAGAATTGAGACAGATCTGTGAAGCTGCCTGGAGAACTGTGTCCAGCTCATGTTTCCACTCAGCTTGGCCCTCAGTTGCCTTACAAGGGTCTCTATGAGAAAATTTAAGGATTGGTATACAGTTTAGGGGCTTACAGTTTAGGAGGGAAAAAGATTTCAGAGCTGTACAGAGCAGCTTGCACAGTGTCTTTATTCTTTGATTCATCTCCCCAGCCTGAGATTAACAGCACTGTGAAGAAGGGATAGTAGAAGAGAGACTGCTCTAAAAATCAAAGAGCAAAGTATTTTACCTTCCTCCACTCACCCCAATGAGCCAGAGGAAAGAGCTGCCAGCGGGCTGAAGGCCAGGCAACCGAGCAGCACCTGATGTGGCAGGCATGTCCCAAAGAGCTCCAACCACAGCCCTGCCCTGAGGAAAACAACACACCACAAACCAAGATCTCCTTGCTCTCTAGCACCATTGCCAGCACTGCTTTCCAAATACAACAACCCTTTTACCAAACCAACTGCATGCTGAACCTCCTAAATGTTCACTTTCTAGCCAGCACTTTATTATTCCCTTCTTCAGAATGTGATACTGAAGCCAGCCATGCTTGTTTTCTTACCAGCTGTCTTTTTTGACAGGCTTTAGCAATCTGACCATGCAACTTGTGTCCTGCTGCATTTTTTTTTCCTGTTGCAAAGATAAGACCTTCCCAATGGACATCAATAAAAACACAGAAAGGGGCAAAGAAAGGAGCTGGTGATGAATATATCTAATAGCAATTCATTTGGAGGATCACTAGGAGCAAATGCCTTTCTTCAGGCCTCCACACCACTGCCCCACAAAGACAAGTTTTGTGAGGCACCATGGGATGAGTTCAGTGAAGGAAGGGAGACTTTTTTAATTGTCTTTCCCCTCTCAACTACCATATTTTTCAGTTTCCATTTCAACAGACAGATTGTATCATAAGGGAGCAGTTTTCATTTCCAGTTTGGAACAGCACTGAGTGGCTATGTAAGAGAGGGAGCAGATAAAACCCTTGCAAATCACAAACCAGGTTTTGATTTGCATGTAAATTAGGTTCTAAGGGAAGGCTTAGTAGGACTGGATAGCTCAAAGGATGGCCAAAGAGGTATAGAAACTCCCCCCTGGGTGTAACTGCATTAACACTCATGCAGAGGCTCCAGAGATGACTCTTAGTTGTAAAACCTTTTCTTTCTATATAGCTAGTTCAACTTTGGCTCAGGGCTGCTGAGAATAATAGAACAGCAACAAAGAGGAGAAGAAAAAAGGCCCTTGGACAACTAATTAGAATTAAGTTACTTCTAGGAAGTAAGCAGTAGAATAGCTGTGGTCATGTCCTGGTAGAGATCCATCACCCTCCCCTGACTGTGGGCTGAAGAGAGGCCTGAACACCTATTGGCTCCTCAGTCCTTCCACTGACACTGCTGGGGAAGGGAGTCTTGCCCCCAGTGCACCCTGTGCCTGCTCTGGGGCAAGCCTTGGACTGAGGGTATCAACCAGCCCACTTCAGCACCAATGCCACCACTCTACAGGTGTCAAGCACAGGAGGTGGTCAGCAGTCCTTCCACTGACACTGCTGGGGAAGGGAGTCTTGCCCCCAGTGCACCCTGTGCCTGCTCTGGGGCAAGCCTTGGACTCTGAGGGAATCAACCAGCCCACTTCAGCACCAATGCCACCACTCTACAGGTGTCAAGCACAGGAGGTGGTCAGGTTTTAACCATGAGAGCATTCAGCAAGTGTACAAGAAAGATGGGGAGAAGAGAAAGAGGGAAGCAATGCATGATGTGCACAGAAGGAGGTGGCCTCTGTTACGTGTGAATGCTTGGACATTTTCAAGCCAAATGTCACCAACACAGTCACTTAAAATAACCATGAACACCCTCCACGAGGTAGAACAAAAGTGGGACCCAGAGCATCATCTGTCCAGTAGCACTTCCACCACAGGGCCAGTCCCACCCAAACTCTGTAAGAGCCTGTGTGCCTCATGCCCGCAGAAAATAGAGCAGCAATCACCCCTGGAGCTCATCTGGCTTTGTATGAGCTCATGAACATTCAGCCCTCAATGGACAAAGGTCATGCTCACACTATGTGGCTACCCAGTGTCACTAGGCATGACCAGAAGAGAGCTCTCCTCCTCTTCTGGTGCTCAAAGCAATCCCCTGCATTGGCAGCAGCCTTACCTGACACGTTTAAGATGGAGGGGGAGATGTCTGGAAGCCCCACTCTAGAGTCTCCCATCCACCATACAATTGTCACTGGTTCAGGGGGACCAACAGCAGCACAGGCCATATGAAATGGGGCATTAGGGGATACGGACACATCCTCAGGCTCCACAGTAAAGTAGGGCACACCTAGAAAAGCAACAGACAAGTGATAATAACTGGAGAGACTCCTTCTGTCTCTTGTTTATATCCATTAATACCAGTGCCCAGCACTGGACACCCATCTGCCCTGCCCCTATGCCTAGTCCCTCCAAGCCCTTCACAAGAACCAAGGGTCAGATGTGATGGCTCACCTCAGAAGACAAATGTCCACATACTCCCACTAGAAGAGGTCAGAGAGACAGGAGTGCTTACTTCCCAAAATGCCTTTGAAAAACCTCTTTCACTGAGTCTCCTTCAAGACTCCCCTCTGAAGCAACTTTTAGTGGCAGTGTTTGCTCAGTTTTTCATCTAAAGAGTCAACAGTCAACAGCTTAAGTGTCAGCAGACACCACTTTAGAAGATACCTAATCCAGCTGCAGATACTTCTTGCCATGCATGAAAAACTGGAGGTTGTGAATGCGTTGAACGAGTGGCTGTAACAAACCCCAAAATGAGGAAGGAATCCCCCAGTGAGAGCCTGGGATCATTTACAGAGCTCTCTCCACAGCTTAATTGGCTGGAGCCTCCTTCCAGCACGCTCCAACACCACGAGAAGCAGGCTGCCTTGGAGCGAGGGGTAATTGGTTTCAGAGCTGAAGGCTATCCACAGACACAGCCCTCCTCACAACTCCCCCTTTCCCACCATGGAAAGTCTCCTGCTTGGTACAACAGGCCTCAGATCACACCCACAGGGAGCAAAATGCAGCTGCAACACTGACCTACCTACCGTGGGTCATCTCTAAACAGCAACAGCCAATAACATGTTGGGGGATGTGGTTCCTCTTATGGAGGATGCCCAAACTCTTCTGGTTTCAGTGCTCCAAACCAATAACCCAAAATTCCCCAGCCACCAGCACCAGTCCTGACCCTGCAGGACAGTCAGTGGCTTCTGGTGGCTGGCAGAGGAGCTGAAGGTCCAGAGAAACCCAAGGTCCCTTTTATGCTCAAAGCTTTGGGCCTCAAGCACAGCCACTACCAACTGCATCTACAGCAAAATGAGGCACTCTCAGGAGGAAACTGTGTGTTCTGGAAACTGCCAACCTGTCACCTCCCTCACAGAAACAGAGGAACCACAATGCTGTGTATTCACATGCTTCAATGACACTGCCTGTCCCCGGGCAGAGATGACAGGCACGAGCAGCCCCAGTTGGTGTGGCAGATGCTGAGCACCTCCAACAGCAGGCAATTGATGTAGGCTTCTAAATCCCTGCTAAGGCACCTAACACTTGACATGTCCCCCACTCTCCAGCCAAAAGCTCTGTCCTCAGTCTTTCACTGACCCTCTAGTTGCTGTTTGGGTCTGTCAGGTGGCAGTTTCTTTGTGCTTTCCTTGTCTTCTTGCCACTCCCTTTAGAATGGTGAGTAAATGAACAAACTAAAACAGGCCTAAAAATAGGTCACTTGAGGAATGATGGTGCTTATCTGTGCAAAGGTCAATGCTCAGGACAGCTATATCCTTCACCATGATTCACTGCTGGGTTTTGTTTACATGTTTTACTTTGTTTTTATTGAGGTCATATGAATAAACTTCTCAGATAACAGCTATGACACCTCTACTTGCTTTTCCCTCTTTCTCCAAGGAAGCTTAGAAGGGAAAATACCACGGCTGCTTCTACCTGTGAGCAGGATTCCTGCCTCCTGCCCCTTCACCATGGCACCCAAGGTAACCTTTTTGGGAAGGTCCTGCCCAGCTCAGCAGGTTTTCTCACTTTGGGTGCAGCTAACCAGACCAGCAAGACCACAATTAAAAGCTCTCCTAGTTCAGGGAGTGCAGCTGACTCACCCAGCTCAGGAACTTGCACTGCCCCTGTACATGTTATCTGGGCACCTCACTGTCTGTGACACATTTAGCCTCCCAGTTCCTGGTACAACAGGTAAGTGCCAGCACCCTCCTCTCACAGATGCTCCGTGGAGGCACTGAGCAGCCAACAGGCAGGAAACCACTGGCAAAGCAAGGAACTGAGCCTGTCTAATCCCTCCTCCAAGCTGGGACCCAACCTACTAGGTTGGTTTTCTTTTCCTTACAGCTCCATTCTTAAACTGTGTTAACTCCCAGGGGTGTATCCATCCAGGTGTGGCTGGGGCTCTGACCATGGCCACAACAGGGGCTGGCAAACCCAGGAAGAGCCACACAGTCAGAGGTGTCATTGCAGAGGGAAAGTTCTGCAGGAAACATAATCCTTATTTAACACAGCCACACTGCACAGCGTGCCTCAGATTCTCTCTCCAGGCACTGAAGGCTATCATGTTCCCAGCAAGGCCAGAGCCTAGCTTCTAAACTAGAAAACATTTTCAAAATAGTTTTTTTTTTGTGTGTGTGTGAATTCTGAGGAATGTGTTACAAGTACAAACATTTTAGCTGTGTTACAAAGACAGATACCATTGCTGCCAACCCTTCCTGATGCAGACTACCCGAGTCAATGCAGGTAGGAGGCAGCACAGAAATCCAGTGGAGCTCACTGCAAGTTACATCACCAGCAGTCCACACTTGTTCTCTGTGCCACACTCAAGGGTGTCAGCACCTACCAAAGGCTGCAAATGGCCAGAGTAAAGCTCCTCTCTGTCAGAGAGCACAACAGTTGTTATCAAGACAGCAAACACTTTAGATAAAGCTGGTTTGCCCAGTGAAGAAATACAGGCAGAGATAACAGTGATGGTGGGACTGAGTTTCTGCATTCCCTGCTGTTTTCTTATGCTAACAGCTGATATTTTTAAAAATCCACCCATAACACTATTTGTTATTCTTTAATTTATTACACAACTCCCTTTCTACAAGGATTACATGCTCTGTTCAGGCTTAACCAGCTTCTGCTGTACTTGTTTTTCTCATGCAGGCGATAAGTTGCATTTTGTTTTAACTTACACTCCCACTCCAAGCTTTGACCTTCATCCTCAATACTCCTCCTTAGCTACCTGCAGCTGGTTTTTTTTTTTTACTTTAATTGCCTGTGCTATCCAGAAGGGCTCCTGTTTTTCAGATGGCTGAGCACACTGTCCTACCCAACCACTCCTTACCATGGCCAAGGAGCAAGCCCTTTGCTGTAAGACACCCAGATCACACCACCTCCCACAGTCCCCTCCCTCCTCCTCCTCTTTAAGACTGTCAGTTCAGCTCTGGCCCAGAATGTCACCAGTTACATCCAAAAAGCCACTTCTTGCTGCAAATGCACTGCTCCTGCCAACTTCCTCACCCAATATTAAGCCATCCTACAACCACTAGGTTCTGAGGATCTAACACAATCATGGCTCAAGGGAAATTGAACTAAACACAGTCAGAAACCACCAATCCACGCTGCCTTGGGCGACTTTTGGGCAACCATATAGAAATTACTCTTTATCAGACAAGACTGGACAAAGCAGTGCCACACAGAACAGTCATGGCTATGAAGTGCTGATGTACAGCACTTCTCCCAAAATCCAGAACTGGGCTGCAACTGCACCTTGTCCTCCAAGGCTTGTTTGGCTGATACACAGAAGCAGGCTGTGACCCTGCTTTGAGAAGTGGGTTGGGCCAGATGATCCTCACGGGCCCCTTTCAGCCTGAACTATCCCATCGTTCTATGAACTATTTAGAGATGAAAGCAACAATGGACTGAGGAGCTGGAAAGAAGCATAGGCACACAAAAGGATCTTGTTTCCTAATGGGCCAAAATAAAACCAGAAGGTAATGACCTGACAGCTCCCCTCCTTGAAGCTACTCTCCTGTTTCTGTTTTCTGCTCTGTAGTGATCCTCTGCAGCTAGCAGCAATGGTTCAGAGCTGAGAAGCCTGTCACTGGAGCAATCTGCTCTCACCACTTCCATCTAGAGCATGTTGGTGGGTCAGCCCTGAAAGGAAACCAGCACTACTCCTCCTCCTTACCTTCCACTATGAGCCACACTTGCTGTGATTCTTCCTTCTTCCCCCCGTTCTCAACCTGGCACCAGTACTTCCCAGAATCTGTCCGCTCGACGGATTTCAAGCTGAAAAAAGCCAAAAGCCATATGGATATTTTATGTGGATAAAGCACGTTTTTGCCCCAAAGGACCCTCCAGTGTTTGGCAAACCAGATGCACGGACAACACCCACGGAGAGGCAGCCAGCTCTGGGGAGGAGGCCGACAGCCAGCCAGCACAAAGCACGTGGCAGAACAGCACAGCTCTTCTCTAAAGTGGGTGGAGGGAACCCTCAGCAGAGCAGACAGCCTTCCTCTGGAATGTCCTCACAGAAAACCAGTCCCTGTGTCCTCTGAGGGCAAGGAAGAGGCTGGTCATCCCAATCCTGAACCATGATGCTAGCTAGCCTTCAAAAGCCACAGCTGGCCTGCAGTGTCTGAGCTAGCAGGAAACTCCAAACCACAAACCTTCCATGAGCCTGTTTTGCCTCAGTTAGGTGACAGGACTGGTGACAGTCTCATACAGGAACAGATGGGTCAGAAAAGGGCCCCCCCTCACCTCAACTGCACTGTGTTGTTCTTATCCCAAGAGTACCTCACACTGCAATACTCCTTGGGCCTCTCAACTTGTGTTTTTGGGGGGGGTTTTGCTGGCCTACACCAGCACAGGACCTTGCCCTGTAAACTCTTCTGTGTCCCCCCTTGCTCAGCAACAGCTCCCCTCCTGAGAAGTTGCATCCAAGCAAGGGAAGACAGCCATGGGGACCGAGCAGCATTCAAGTTGTAGACCTCCCAAAGTTGAGGAGAGAAATTCTGCTCCTTGCTCCACCACAGCAAATCCGTGGTATCCTCACTGCCATTAGCAGCACAAAGCTAACATGGTGAGTAAAGGCAGAGTTTGGTCCCAAAACAAGGTCTCAGCTTGTGTGACTCCAAGTGCCTGTCAACGTACAGTTGGCAAACGCCTGTTGGAGGTGCAACCATGCATCTGCTGCCATGCAGGGATCCTCAGCAGAGCTGATGCCCACCTTTCTAAGGCTAGCAGTCTGCCCTGGGGAAGACCAAGACCATCTCAGGAAGGAAGACAGAAAAAGGAGAGTGTTTGCTGAAATGCACCAAATGGACCCACTACAGCCTGATTTTCAGAGCTGTACCTTCAAATGGCATCAGCTGTCCTGCCCATCCAGCCGCATGTTCTGAAACACAGCCATCACAGCAGAGTCACAGGGGGTGGAGAAATGATCACTTGAGGAGAAGAAAGGAAAAAAAGAAGAAAAAGATACGGACACATCTAGGTTTAGCACCCTAACGTAGCCCTAGTGCTCCAGAAAAGATCTCAGTGGAGGAGAAACGAGGTGAAAAAGGAGATCAGACTGAGAGATTGGGAGGGGCAAAGAGTTACCTAGTGGAATTGCAGGGAGTAAGTGGTATAGTTTCAAGACAAACTTACTCCATGACATCATGTTATACAATTGTTTCAGTAGGCACAGATCTTTTTCCTATCAAAATGTTTCTTACAGACAAGCTTTAGCACAGACATGTTTAGCTGCTGGAATTGCAGACTCTGTGCAATGTCAATCCAAGAAACCTAACAGGAGATGAAGCTGGAGCTCAGGGAAGAGCGATTCTCAGTCACTCAACAGTTTTGAGCCCTCATGGTGACAATATGTTTGCTTGTACAAGCTCTCTTTATGCACAGAAAAAGCCAGAGCACAACCTTGGGTCTTGTTTAACTTCCAGAACTAGCTGAGATCCCTTTTCTGTTGAAATAAAGGCAGAGGTGCTTTGCAGAAAAGAGTTTTTGCACCTCTGAGCAGAGCAGGGCCAATTCCACACGGTGTACATGTATTAGGAAAGTCTCTGCAAAACGACTCGGGGATGACTCAGGTGACAAACACTCCTCCCTAAAGAAAGGAGGAAGCTGCAGTCCAGGGAGTCTCATTTCAATTAACAATCTTCACCCTCTAGGCAGGCTGACAGTTCAAGAGAGAGCAAGAGAACGGAACGAGTATAAGAGAGAAAACCTATTTATACAAGTCAGACCTTAGCCTTCCTGCTGCACAGCAGAACAAGATGAATAAATAAGGCACGAACACCCTCTCACCTCGAAGTCACGCCTCAAGCACCACAAGCATCAGCAAAGCACCTGTCACCACAGCAGTCAGGAAAGGAATACGGTTCTAGTGCTTAAAACCTCAGCCATCAGCAGCTTCAGTTCTGCTCAGTTATGTCCCTGCTATGTGCTCAGCTGCAGACCCAAGGACCCCGGCCCGCTGAGGGAGAGGCAGTTGCAAAGACAGAGCTGTCAGCAGAAAACTGTGCAATAGTTTCCATGATATTCTTCCTTCTCTGCATCTGTTGTACCTGAGGAAGCCGATCCAGTGTTCTTCATCTACTGGAATGTACACCTGGTCTACGCTTTGCACCACTGCTCCATCCTTGATCCACAACATCTCGGGATCTTCCATTCCCTCCAGGCTGCAATTTAGTTTCACGGGTTGACCCTGGGACACCTTTAATTTGATTGGAGATCCTGTAAATTTCATACCTAAAAGAAAAATACTACTCCGCCCCACCCCCAGAAGAAGGGGGGTTGGAGTACAGCAAGTTACTCCAGGTTGGTGCTCTGGAATCACACACCCTACCAGCACAGGCTGCAGAGGGGTCTGTTAGTCACAGCGCTGCTCTACGAGGTCTGCTAAGCGACAGTCAAAGGCAAAGCACTGAAAGCACAACTGCTGGAGAAAAGTGGTGGCTCAGCATGTGCACGGGGCTTTTTTCAACTCGTGGAACAGCAGGGTGAGCTTCTGCAGAGCAGAGCCAGGCAGAAATCGCCGGGTCAGTGATCCGGCAGCGCTTAAGCGCGTTTGCTCCACACCTCCCTCTTTTCCCCGGGCTTGAATTTCAGCTATGGTGCTCCTGTGCTGCTAAGAAATCATCGTGCTTGCTTCATTGTATGCATTTGCAAAGAGCTGGGATAGAGAAAGAATCAATTATGTCTCGTTAGTCAGCGTACGCTGTTCCTCTGCATCACAGAAAGCTCCTCTGCAATTTGCAAAGCCCAGGAAAGCAAAGCCTACTCCACAGCACACCTCCCCGAGGAGAGCTGCCTACAGAACACACAGGCCTGTCGTGCGACGTGGGGGAGTGCTCCGACGAGCCTCCCCGACCCTCCTGCCCAGCCAAAGGACCACCCTGAGCCCAGAGCCACGCAGCTGCGACCCCAGGCAGCAGCAGGGCCAGGGCTGGTGGAGCCGAGCCAGCAGCGATTAGCGCCTGGCCTGGAGCGCTGTTAGGCGTGTGGGTGGATGGGGAGCGTCTCCCTCCAGCAGCAGCAAGGATATGGAATGTGTTACCACGAGAGAACATGGAAGCCGACTATGTAAGTGCATTTAAGACAGAAAGGCATACAAAGGAGGAACCAGAGGATCAAAGGAGATCGTGGGAAAGCAGGAAGGTGGAAAAGAAATGTAAAGCTCGCTTTGCTAGGGAGAGTGGCCATTTCCTATGCAGTGGCACAGGACTGTCAGACCAGAACAGGTCTAACCTAGTTCAATATTACACCCTGGCAGTGGCCTTCACATCCTTCAGAGAAAAAAACAAAAAAACAACAAAACAAATCCATAACTCCATCACCCTTGCCCAGCCACGTATCACAGCACATCGCAGCTTCACCCAGCTCACTGGCTGGCCAGCTTCCCACAGGATGCCTCGCTAGCTTACAGAGCCAGGCAGGAACACACCAGTTGTGAGACCCAGAGCACTGTTAAGGAACCATCCTTGTTGCTCTCAAACTCTGTCACAGCCCTACTAGTGAACAAATCCAGAGATCTCTCACGTGCCTCTGCCCTTCTTGCCAAAGCACCACCCTCCCACAGCCACGAGGGCACCGCTCCAGCGGGCAGTGTGACCACAGAGGGGGGGCAGCAGGGTTCTGCCCGTTGGAAGAAGGGTGAGCCAGCACTGTGGGACCCACCAGCCCTCTGCCACTGCCTGCCAGTGCCCAGCAGAGCACCAGTGGTCCAGGAGCGATCCCAGAACGTGGGCAGAAGGACTTTATGCTTTTCCTGAAGGAGATCGTCCAGCCTGTTAACAGCTGGCTTCCCACACCCAGTCTTTTGCCTTTCTACCTGCTGTTCTTAATTCAGGAGATTCACAGAGAGCATTAGAAAACTGGCAAGATGATGATTTTAGTTTTGTTGCTCCAGCTTGTTTGCCAGGCTAAGGATTTAATCACCTTGGGTGAGGATGATCTAACCTCTCATTACTTAACTCATCTGTAACACAAATGACACGTCCCAGTGCACGCCAGAAAACATCCTCCCTTTCACCACCCACCACACCAGAACAAAACACCAAAGCTTCTTAGCAGCTCTCTCTGTTACAGAAAACTGCTGTAGCCAGGCTGCTGCTGAATGCACACAGACCGACAGACACTTTGACTGCAGGTGCCTTCATGGCAGAGCAAACTACTCTCCAGCTCTCCTCAGGCTGCCGGGCTGAAAGTATTAGCCTCAAATGGGACAAAGAAGAGTATTAGGAGACTCTTCCTGGTTTTCAGTTCCCATACAAATGAATGATGTCGAAAATCAATATACAAATGTCCACCCCAAGTTGTAATTCTCCACGTCACCCAAGTATAATGCCTCTATCAAGATCAACTGAAATGAAGAAATACAGATTGGAGATTTTCAATAAATTCACAGCTTTTTGACAAAAAAAATTCGGTTTTAGCTGCAGCATCTCTTCCTGCTGGTATCAGGAAGAAGCATATAGGAGGCCAATACGGATTTTAATTTCCACCTGCTCCTCCTTCTACTCTCCCACTCACGATTTCTCATCTGATAACATTCTTGCCAGCACAAGAAATCTCATCCAAATAGGTTCCTCCAAGACTACCTGGGAGAGCTGCAGGAGCACACAGCTAGGAAATAAAATTATATCTGGTATCCAGCAGCCACCTGACAGAACTGACAGCAAACAAACACACTAGCAGTCAAAATAGGTAACACGCTTGTTTGGTTTTTTAAACTTGCCACCCCAGAATATTTTGATTCCTAGGAACAGAAGCATGATTTTTTTGTGAAGTTATTTTTGGGAGCGGAGAGGGAGGAAGGGGTCCACTCGTGCACGCCGAGGGAAAGGCTGTGTGCCCCTCTGACGGTGCGCTGATGCGGGGAGCCAAGCCCGCAGCACAGCCCCTCCA